TTTAGTGAACGTGAACAATCCCATCAGTCCAAAACCAAAATATAATATATATATATGTTTATAAGGATATAATATATTTATATAATTTATTATATAAAGTATTTAGTTTATAATGATGAAACACAAAAAAGCAGCTCACCTTGGAGAAGCTGGAACCAGCTTGAATTGGGCATTTTTCCATCATAACTGATTTAAATGAAAGATCGATTCTCATTTCTGTAATGTAATAATTAAAATAAATAAATTGATTAATGACTAATTGCCTCAGCACCACTGATATGGGAACCTTGCAGGAACTCAGAAAAACAGGATATGGATGGATAACATTGGATAAAAGAACATAGTCCCCATAGTTATAGTTTAGAGATATTTAAAATATATGAGTGAATATAGAAATCAAAAGTTTTGTGACTTTATTTTTAGTAAACACTATAAAATAAAACAAAAACATTACAGGAAGAAGACTCATTGCACTGCTGAGGAAATGTAAATCCCCACAGCTGGTTGGTCTTTCTGATATTGGAGTTCATTTCTGTGAAATCTGCGTTTAGGTCTCGCAGTCTGAATGACGAAGCTACTATAAAACTGTTGCCACCATAGAGTCACCGGCTGTTACCAGCCTGGTTTGGTGATGTCAGTGTTTTTTATGGCCCACACAGCCATAAATAGTTGACTCAAACCTTATATTGTCTCTTTACTGAATAAAAGGAAAAAAGGTGGGCTTCTATTTGCATATCTCACACATTTCCAGAGAGGTGTAAACAAACAAACAATCATTTGTTTTAGTTTTATTTGCTTAATCTGCTTACTGAAGCTCTCTGGAAGGAGCTGCATGTATGTATTGTAGTGGGGTTTTTTTTTAGTGTTTTAGCAGTGGTTCATGTTTTCATGTTGCACACAGGGATTCGGATCCAGTAAGATAAGATTGATAGAGGGATGAAGCGAAGATTTTTATGCATCCATTAAGAGGCAGAATAAGTTCTGTATTAACTGACCCAGTGACTCCCTCTAAAGGACCCACATGTTCCTCCCAAGATCAGAATCACATCATGGTACAGGCACGAAGAGGGGCACTTCAAATAAATATGGAAATTAAGTTCAAGCACTTAAAGATAACTGTGAGGATGCCATTGGAGTATCGGTTACCCAGAATGCAAAGAGAAAAGTCATTTGGGTAAAAAGCGACTTTAAGCAGAACTACGGCGAGTAAAAAACAGGAAGTGCCTCTAGAAACGAAGAGCAGAGGCACGGCTGAGTTCAGGTAGCTGCTCGGTGACTCACTGGGTTCAGCCCTGACGCAGTATCACGAACACACCTACTCTGGGACTTCTAAGAGGAAAATAAAACCTTTATAGGACGTTGATCCGCTATCAGCCCACTCCTGGCGATTCAGGAAGTTGTTTAAAAAAAAGAACATGACAAAGCATGGTGTTGTTAGCGGTCTATATGATGTACAGATTAAAGCAGCTGCAAGTTGCACATTGACTCATTTTACATCATTACTCAACTTAAAAGGTCACATTACAAACTCACTTGTTAAATTTTAATATTTCTGCTTCAAAACAAAGCCACAACAACAACAACTGTTGACTCCTTTTACAAAATACACATTCACACAATTCACATTTCTATTAAACAGTCATTTTCACCAGATCCTGTAAGATTTTATCTTTTTATATATTCTTAGTGTAAACAAAGATTTGACAAAATAGCGTAGCTCACCAAAGGAACAACATTCAAATTGGACAACAAATAACTGAAAGACAAATCATTGATTAGGACAATTAAGAAATTAATTTGTTGTGTTTGCAGGTAACTGAAAGAGAGCATCAGTCAGAGGACAGCAGGCATCTGTACTGTGGGAGTGAAGCATGTCAGCTTTTTATAACCTCGCCATAACTCGGCCTCAGTTGTTGTAAAAAAATAAAACTGTCTTGGATATTCTGGGCCAGTCTCCATGGTTACACACATATGCACAGACACACATGAAACCCGCCTCAAAGTGAGAATAAACACATTTAAAAATAGTAATTCTGTTTGTTTGTAGTGTAAAATAATAATAAAATTTCAGCGGGGAGAAAAAAGGTGTGTGTGTGTGTGTATGATAATCTTGGAATTCTTGGCTCTTTCTTTCTTATCAAGCAGCAGGTTTCACCACCAACAAAAGGAAATATGACCATTCACCACACCTTTCATAAAGGCACCCTGCACTGTTTTAATGGATACTCACAGTGACTGTGTACTGGAAGCTGTTAGAGAGGAAATAAACTGCACTCTTTCTCTCCTCTCTGTTCTATTATCCTCTCTGCTGTCTCCATCTCCAACCATCACTTATGTTTGAGGAGGTCAGAAATCATAAAGTCTGTCCTTGCACTAGGGCGCCCCCTGTTGATGCATAATCATCACACCTGTGGCTTCAGTTAAGAGTTTGAACTGAAGCCAAGCTGACACTCTCAAACTCATGATCAAAGGATGTTTCCAGAAGAACTGATATATTTGTATGTGGGTGTGAACTGATAATTTATGTCTCTGACATCCGATCTCTGCCTGTCGCGGTACATGTGGATAAATGGCAAACACGTATTCTTAAAGGTACATATGCATATTTAGCACTGAGCTGCAGCAGTAATTGTATACAGCTCTGCTAAAATGCATAAATTAAATTAATAGGTTGCATATCAAGACATCACCTGAGAACTCTTTGTTATAGTTATACCTTAAAGGACCAGTGTGCAGGATTTAGTGGCATCTAGTGGTGAAGATACCGCTCGTCTTCCAAGCGTGTAGGAGAAACTACTGTGGCCACAAAACCTGTAATAAACACAAAAAGGCCCTATCCAGAGCCAGTTTTTGGTTTGTCTGTTCCAGGCCACTAAACATGGCAGTTCAACGTGGCATTTTAAGGTAACGAAAACCAGATTCTTATATTCAGGTGATTAAAAACTAATGAAAACTTACCTTTAAATATCATATTCCATTTCTGCCAGTAGACCCTCCTAAATGTTACACACTGGACCTTTAATGATGGGTTGTTAGCTTCCATTTGTTGAAGACGTACTAAAATGTTAGAAATACTGTTACTTTATTGATATATTTAACTTTAAAAAAAGGAGAACATTGTTGGTTTATGATTTTGTGCCACTTAAAAAGTTGAACAGACGGATTATTAAAATATGACATGTTAGGTTGTGCAGTGTATCAGGCATCTATTTTCCAGCTAAACTGCGACCAAGCTGGACATACAGATTGTAAGCACAGCAATATTTATTCTGCCAACCTGTAAGTAAAGACGCTCAAATCACCAGTCTGCTGTAAAAAATTACGCCACAGATGCTTCATCCCAACAACATCCAACATGGCTGATGGCAAAACTCATGCAAATAACCTGACAACCCTCTCCAATATGTTCACAGATCTGTGTTTGATACTGCTTCTTGGCTATAATAAGTAATCTGATTGTATGTGTGCTGCTACTGTGTTCTCTCTAATGCCCAAAACTAATTTCTTATGAGGGAGACAATAAAGGCCAATCTAATCTAATCTAATATGATATGATGTAAAACATTTCAGGGAATAAACACAATGTTTCAGAGAAGAGTTGGTAGCTCATGTTGTAGCGTTACATGAATTAAATAAGCTGGAAAAACTGGTCACAAACACGTCATGTGTCTCAGTTAAGACGAGTAAGAAGAGGTCAATTTTGTCATGTGACAGTCTTATTTGATGAAATATGGAAATGTATAATATGCATATACACATTCCCATATTTACTGTAACACTGAGCTGGGTAGATATTGTCTGACAGCTGTGGAAACACACGTACAAGATCAATATCAGTATCATCAGGTATTTAGCCTCACCTCATCACTTCTAGCTGTGCAGGCAGCCCCATGTCTGTCCATCCTGATCATCTCAGCTGGTTACAAATGAATAAGGCCTAAGCTAAGAAGACAGAAAGACCATTATATTACATTAAACACAGTATATATATAATATGTTGAGATGAAACCGGTTTACACACTCAAAGACCATCGATTGAATAAACCTTGGGATACTGAGTGGTTCTGAGGACCTGACGCACAATGCATGATGCAACAAGGTGGAAGAAATGCCACATAACCCTGCAATGAATGAAAAAAACGTGAATTTATTTTTTTCTTTAAACAAAGACAAATAGTTATTGTCACTAATGGGAAAATGTTCCTGATGTCACAGAGAGTTACTCTTACAGTGAATCAAGAATAATGAGGTCAACTAAATTCAAACGTTGAAGTACTTTAAACATTTGGACATTGATTACACAATCAATGGCCCAAACTGTTGGCTGGGAAATAATATATATTTAAAAGATCTGAGTCAGGTCCAGGAAAAGTTCTAGATACGACTACTACCTGCAGCCACAGAGGCCTAGATTCTTGAAAATAAAACCAGTGTCTTTTTCATTAAATAAAGATAGATTAGATAGATAGATAGATAGATAGATAGATAGATAGATAGATAGATATATAGATAGATATGATAGATAGATAGATAGATAGATACGATAGATAGATAGATAAACAATAGAATTATAATATATATATATATTAATTAATGACTGAACAGATATACATGTATAATGATGATGATATATAGCATTTGTATAATAGATACCTTGAGTAACAAGATAATACACACAATAATAAAATATTATGAATATAAAGGATAGATAGAAGATAGAAGATAGATATAGATAGATAATGATAGATAGATAGAGATAGATGAAGAAGATAAATGTGAAAAAAAGATAAGAATACTGTATAAGTATGGTTCATGATATCAACATGAATAAGTTAATATATATAACTTATTGCCTGTGTTTCATTAAAATCAGCTGCTAATGTTGCCATGAATACACGGCGCCATCTCGTGGTTACCATTGGCAACAGCACTACTGTAACGTCACGGGGGACAGCTGCGCTCTAATTGGCTGCCGGGCTCAGGTCACATGATCCCTCTCCCCTCACTGTCCCGTCGGTGTTTTTTCTTGAACTGCGCCGTGAACGAGCTTCTCCTTTGTTTTTAGACTACTTTACAATGAGGCGACGAGCTTAAATGTTACTGTGAGTGAAGAAGGGACGTCGACGCGGTTAAATGCGAGGTTTTAACTCACCTGGCCGCGTGGTAACAGGTGGGTGGACAGATTTAGCTAAAAGTGTTGTTGTTGTTGTTGTTTTGCTTCGTCAGCGACTCTGGGTCAGTTTACGGTTTATTAATGTAAATGATAATGTTACAGTCAGAAGCTTTGCATATTCCCTTAACCTTACTTGTTAAGTCTTAAACTAGTGTGTGTTTTATTAAATATCTTCGCTACACTGCAAAGTGACCCACATTACATTCGTGTTTGTAGCTTTCTATTTGCTGACTGTGTTATCTAATCTGAAGCCCGCAGTATAAATGTGTTGCTCTTCTCTTTGTCTTTTGGGTGATTTGAGAATTGAGTAATCTTCTCTGACTCAGCTCCACTTCTTCAACTCGAGCCAAAACTCTTGAGTCACTGCTGTAATGTCATTTTGTGTGTCTGCGCAGATAAACAAGCCTTCTTTGTCCTCTGTGGTTAAAGATCTGCACACTGAAAGCTTTCTATGAATGCTATATAACCTGGAGATAATAGAGATTGTATAAAGCACAATGCAAGTAGCAACAGATGGCCCTGTCTCAATGTTTCACTGTGGACTGTGTTATATGTGTTTATGTTTCTTCCCATAAAGCGTATGAAATACTTTTCTAATGTAGTAAAGTTCCAGACTTAGTTTCTGTATCACCCAGCTTTGTTTGATTGTCAACATTGCACAGGAGCGTTTATCTTGTTTTTGTGTGAGTTTGAATTAAAATAACTTTTCTCTTTCTTGTGTCTTCTCTTGTTCCTGTAGGATCTGTTCATCAGCTTTAAAAAGAAATCAAACGTAAGTGCATCAGACCAAACCGGCGTACACATGTGGCTCGCTGGGGACGGGGACAGCTCTTAGATGTTTGGCCTTCCTTGGAATCAGTTTCAAGGAAACACAGTCACTTTAAAACACAGGACGCTTCCTCCATGTGAATGACTTCGAACCTTCTACACTCCTCTGCGTGATCTCAACCCTAAATGTTTGCTGTGTGTTCACAGCGGCTGGAATGAGTCACATGTTTCTGGGAGGAGACTTTCCTGAAGCTTTACACAGTCACGCTGCTACTGTCAGCATTAAGGCTTCCATACTTCCTCTCTCTCTCTCTCTCTCTCATAAGCAATCAAATCCCATAAGTCACAAGACCAGTGTTTTTTTGTTTTTTGACGCAGGGTATTTTGGACCTGCGTGCAGCTTGTCAGCAGCTGGAGCTGTGTGTGTCTTTGTGCTAGAGATGAGCTGTGCAGGTTATTCTCTGTCTGGTGTTGAAAACATCTAGAACCTCCTCTTTGTCAAGTCTGTAAAGGGTAGGCAGAGGTGTGTGTGTGTGTGTGGAAGATAGACAATGGTGCTTGAGATATATTGTTATATAGCTACGTTGCTGTAAAACGTTAATTTCAAACAGATTTTTGAGGTTATGATAGTCAAGGAGAAAGTCTGTGATGTTCAGTTCACTTTATATATTTATTTAAAACTGGATTAAATCCTCAGCTGCACCCCGGTTGGTAAACCTCGGTGTGTTGAATACACTGAGGTGATTTCTGTGAAATGAATTAAACTTTTTATCTTCTATTATCATTTCCAGCGTCAGTATCTGGACATTCATCAATTCTTTACCACAGAAACACGAAGACATTGTGTAACGTTGTTGTTCCTGTTGTTTGGTCTCAGAGCCGCAGAGGATCATCTGACCTGAGCTGACGCTACTGATATCTATCAGAGCAGATGTCATTTTGACTTTGAGAATGAATACCGACATCCCTTACAACCAGGTAAGCTGCATTCTTTACTTTAGTTAAACCAGTCATTAAGTTTATGGACAGAAAATGAAACTATTTTCCACTTTCATTGGGTTTGATTGTTTGTTTAACAGCAAACATTGACACTGAGTAAAGCTTCTCTACAGTGAGGCTTCATTGGCTCACATTGTAGAAATCTAATTGATCACCTTTGAAAAGTAAATATATTCACTGGCATATTATTTTTTTCTCACTAAAGGATGAGTTAATGTACTAATGGTTTGTACTGTATTTTAAGGAGAAAATGCTTCCTGTGTTGATCAGATCAGAACTGTGGAGTTTCCTCATATCGTCTTTCATAAAGTGAGAGCACCATGCCAGCTCTGAGTCAAATCTCCATCTCATATATTCATCTTATACTCACCTTTGTTTTGAAAAAAAAAAAACAATGGATGGGTTTACAACTGGTGAATTTCTGTATTGTTATGGATGCTGCAAACAGTGGAAGTCAGGGAATTTGAAAAATACCCCGACTTCATTCAAGAAAAAAAAAATAGTTTAATTAATTTCTAGAAGTTTTACTCACTGAAAACTCCAACTGTGAGTTAATATATTTTTCTGACTTATTTAGGAAAAAGAATCTGGTTTAACTTCATCGTCTGAGGCCTCTCTGGCTGCAGGATTCGTACCTATCTAACATAAGAATACATACATCTAACAGCTGATCTGCTTCTATCCATCCCTTAGCTGCAGTGTGATATCTAAACTGCATTACCCAGTTAGTCACATGCTGTATACTACTAGCTGTAGTGAGCTATTACTTATGTTGAATCCTCCTCCATTGAGGGTTCAGTCCAACCAGATCACAAAAAACACAGTCAAAGTGAAAGTCTCTCCCCGCCTGACCACGATATCCACTTTATATGGTAGTAGTTCAGATTGCTCCTACAGTGCTCATGCATGGGTCGCAGACATGGAGTTTCTTGTGAAAGTGAGGAAAGAGAACAACATCATGTTGCATATTCAATGAAACTGGCTTCAGGTTGGAATTAAAATCCTCGAATTATTGTCTGCTCATTGTGTTAATGTGTTCTTCTGATGCCTGTAGCTGGTGGACGTGGAGAGAAGGAGACAAGAACACAACAGGAAAGAACAAGTGGTACGTTGGCGACACACAGACTCAAATCGATTCAGATGTATTTAGTACCAAACAACCTAACAGAAACAAATTCAATTTAAACATAATTTACTGGTCGACAGCCACAGCGTTGACACGTTGCTCCCCCTCTTCCAGTATTCCAGGTGTGTGCTCGCTCTGGCCACTGTGGCCACTTTGCTGCTGGTCGCCACGGCCTTCTACAACCTCCTGACACCAAGGGTTTCCTCCTCCCACCCTGCCCCGAGCAGCAGCCTCCGTCTGGCCCAGGGCGAGTCCTGCTCAGACCCCTGCAAGTAAGCAAACATCTGCACACACACGGACCACTGTTGTAACAGCTGTTACAATGTGAGCACTATTCGAAGGGTAGACTGATGTTCAGAGTTCATAGCTTAACTTTGGATTCTTCAACTTGCTGCAAATACACAGTGTGTGTGTGCGTGTGTGTGTGTGTGTGTGTGTAAAGTCCAATATCAGTATTTGAGAGTTTAAAATCTAATAACAATTAATGATATAATATAATGATATAATAATAAACTTGACAAACCTTATGACGCAACACTTGTTTCTAAATTACCTCAAACATATCATAACATTTCTATACTATAATGTTTTATCAGCTGACATATATGCCTCTTAATATATCTACAATAAACTAATATCCGGCAACATGTCAACGCCACCGTGCCCCGTCCAGTTCTGCTTCGTAGGCAGAACCCGGCGTAGAGACTTTATCATCGACCCATTTCCTCTGTGTCTCCGTCTTAGGATCGTTCTGGTGGAGAGCATCCCTGAAGGTCTAGAGTTTAACTCCAGCACCACCCACCCCTCCATCTTCCAGGCCTGGATCAATCTGATGGCCGAGGCTCGCAGCAGTGTCGACATCGCCTCCTTCTACTGGACGCTCACCAACAAAGACACTCACACTGAAGAGCCGACAGCCGACCAGGTCAGCTGGAGCGGCGAATATATAAAGCTGACGGGCTTCTTGTTGTTATTTTAACTATATAAAACAGGAACATTGTACAGTGTAAATAACATTATTAACGTTAAAATGATTTTCTTGCTGTGTGCACAGGGTGAGACCATTCTGAAGACTCTAGCTGAGCTTTCAGGGAAGTTGTCTGTTCGTATCGCAGTGAACACGCCACAGATGAGACAACCGCAGGACGACCTGAGACTGCTCAACGACTCAGGTGACTGTCTTTTACTTTATAGCAGCGCGTGTCAGACTGAAGAATCGATGATGATGTTTAAGCTGATGTGTCTTTATATAAGGCCAGGCTGCAGTCTCCTGTATTTACTACAGCTGGGATGTTACTTATTTTTTAAGTTATTGTGTGTTTGTTGACATTTTGTTTTCATTTTAGAGCTGACAGTGTAGAGAGAGAGGAGAGCTCTTATTATAGAGTGTATAGAGTAATAATTTGGTGACATAACAAAGTCCAAATTAATGACGCTAAGCAAATTTGAATGATAAACGAACATAATTAGTTACTGACGTTTTTGTGTATGTGTGAGTATTTTGGTCTGATGTGATGCATAACAGTGGGACACACTTTGTTGCATTAAACATCAATTTAATTGAATGTATCATCTATTTTAATATCCTAAAAGTATTATTAATATTGATATCAACCACATGGCTAAGCTCTAATATTGAATTAGATTTTATTCCTTTAACTGTTAGTAATGTCTTCAGAGAATATATGAACCAAAGCAAAAAGTGAAATTCCGTTTCTTCTGGTAAATTTACTCTCTGGCCTGTATTTGTAATTCAATGATTTCATTTTGGTTTACAGTTGAATGAGAAACACTGATTTCTTTTCAGGAGCTGATATCAGGACAGTTAATATGAAAGCGCTCACCTCAGGCGTCCTCCACACTAAATTCTGGGTTGTAGACAAGAAACACATTTACATTGGCAGTGCCAACATGGACTGGAGGTCCTCGTTACACGCAGGGTTAGCGCCAACAACACAACCACGCAACACACACTACACACCAGCAGCAACATCAGACACAACAGGGCATGCACACACACACACGCACAGGTTATCTGTCAGAATCCAACGTCTCCACAGTAACCTGGTTCACAGACATATTTTTATCCTCTGTTATATTTCTGTGACTCTGTGGGTAGTATCTGTGTTTTACAGTAATAATCATTACATTAGCATGAGAGGATGTGGATGAGAAACAAAGTATTGTTCTGTTTTTAAACTCAGTGTTCAGTATTGTTGTTCCGGTCTGAAAAAGGTTCTCAGGCCATTTCTGCTATATATGAAAGATGGAAAATGATCTGGTGCCCGATCTAAGCAGGATTGCGTTTCTTCTGCTTTTAAGAGGAAGTTCAAACTTTCAATCACATGCCCCGCTTACAGAATGGTTTACATTCACTTTAATACACTGACGGTCATCAATATCTCAAACCACATCTCAGTTTTAGCTTTCCTCATCAGATATTTAGTTGGGTTAAGTATTCATGTGGGCTGAGTCACTGCCATAAACATCTGACCGTTTCTGTGTGTCTGCAATTAAATGAAATGCAAAATAAGTTCAGAAAATATTGATATAAAGTAATCTACACAAAGTCTGAATGGTTTTAGACATCTGTCATCTCTTACATTCTGACGCTTTTATGTGTGAATCAAAAACATTTACACAGTGTTAATAGAGGCATTAATGATATTAAACATCCAGATCTTCAGATGAAGACAAAGAAATATGACCCGGTCAAAGGATGGAATTAGAAATTGAAACTGTGTCGCCATAGTGAGAGAGCAACATTTCTAAAATAGTTTCTTTTTTCTGTTCATTGCCACAGTTGGAAAATCTCGATGCTGTTAAAATGTGTGCTAGAGAATACGTTCATACTCTGCTGTTGGTCTCCAGGTGAAGGAGCTTGGCGCGGTGGTCTACAACTGCAGCTGCTTGGCCACAGACCTGGGCAAGATCTTTGAAGCCTACTGGTTCCTGGGGGAGAGTCAGTCAGTCCCATCACCGTGGCCCTCCAGCTTCACCACCCTCTACAACAAGGACACACCCCTCCAGCTGCCACTCAACAACACGCCGTCCAACGTCTACCTGTCGGTGAGACGCATGCAGGATCACAGATTCTTCTTCCTCATTTCTTATCTTTTACTCATCTGAAGTGGCAGCATATCCTGTTTTTCTTTATCTTTTACATAAACCCAAGGTTGTCATGTGACCTGCAGTCCCAAATGAGGCCACAAAACCCAAAAATACGCCACAGGCCAGTGTGTCCCACTCCACCCTCTGGCCTTCTTACATCAGTGTACTTCTAACAACCACTGCTCTTACTCAGCTTACCGTCTGTCGAGGCTGCTGTGTCGTTTAAAATGACATTATTGACCAGATCTCTCATCTCTCCTCCCTTTTTTCAGAGTTCCCCTCCGTCCTTCTGTGCTGCCGGGAGGACTCCAGACCTTCAGTCCGTCCTGAGTGTGATGGAGGATGCCCAGAGCTTCATCTACATCGCTGTCATGAACTACCTGCCCACCATGGAGTTTTCACATCCTAAAAGGTACAGTTGTTCAGGGACTTTTGTCGACGAGTTAATGTAGGTCCGATTTTTAGCCAGCATGGTTCTATGGATGGTTATTAGTGGTCCGTCCGTCCGTCAGTCCACCACTTTGTTCCAGACTGAAAGATATTCAAAAATCACTTTGGTGATCTTCAGACTTTTCATATAGCGCCATCATCAGGTCAATATTTTTCTTTGTCCAGTAACCGAATACCCAAAAATCAGCCTTAGGTTTGCTGACACACTAAACTAAGATGGCATCAGCATGTTAGCATTGTCACTGTGATCATATTAGCATGCTGACATTAGCATTTAACTGAAAGCAACACTGTGCGTAAGTACAGCCTCAGTCGTTAGCCTGGCTGTTTTTTATTCTTGCATTGCATCTTTAAACCCAAAGCTAAAGGTAAGTACTGGTTTAAAGCATGTTCTTTTAGAAAAACAGTTTTATGCCACAGAGCTTTTATGCTGTGGTCAATGTGGCACATGTGTAAACACCTGTGCAGAAATTTGTAATCAAAGGTTTATTTATTACATTATCATCTATTTAAACAGTGTTTTAAAAAGGGAAATTCACAATCAATCCTCTATTCTCTCTGTTTCATGAAACACATTATTCTGAGCATTTTATTTGCGGATGAATAATGGAGAATAGAATTGGGACGTGGCCTATTTGCATGGTTAATGTGATGTCTCATGTAATAATACCTTGCCTGTGGCGCCCTCTGCAGGTATTGGGCAGACATCGACACCCAGCTGAGGCGAGTGGGATACGAGAAGCGGGTCAAAGTGCGCCTGCTGATCAGCTGTTGGGCCAGCACCCAGCCGGTCATGTTTCCCTTCCTGAAGTCTCTGGCATCAGTTTATGACGCCAAGAGCAAACTGGACATCCAGGTGGTGAGTAGCTCTTCTCTGGTTCCTTTTATAAAAATAAAGACCTGGTCTGGACATGTGTCCTCTCAGAAAGGAGCCTCTACATATCACGATGCATATTCTAAAATCACCTGATGGTCTCTGGTTTCCCTTCGTTCAGAGGTTGTTTGTGGTGCCTGCCAGCCCCAAGCAGAAGGAGATCCCCTTTGCCAGAGTCAACCACAACAAGTACATGGTCACTGACAAGGTGGCCTACATAGGTAAGGCTGCAGGCACACACTGCATGGTTGATGTGAAACACACTGAGGGACTAACATGTGTTCTAAGTAATTAAGTGGAGTAGCTGTTTTAATCCATCAAGCTGTTATACACACAGAATTCATTCATATATACAATATAATATAGAAGTGTTGGTGTTCACAGGCCACTCTGCTTCTTTTCAAATGTGTAATTTTGATAAAATAATTATGAAAACATTGAGATCAAAATACCTCATATTCTTTGAAACTGAACTTTGGGTTTTTCTGTCATTTCAGTAAATATTTTATAGCCTGAAGGATTCTTTGATTAATCAGTTATGAAAATAATAATATCCACCTGTGATTGTACACCCTCAGTATGTATCACATCTGCAATCAGCCTAGTCTTCAGGAAAAAGTGATAAATAGGATCAAATATAATAATTTTTTTCTGTCTTCAGGTACGTCCAACTGGTCAGGTGACTACTTTGTGAACACAGCTGGCTCGGCACTGGTTGTCAACCAGACTGCATCACAGACCTCGGAGCCAACCGTCCAATCACAGCTGAAGGATGTGTTTGAGAGGGACTGGAACTCCGACTACAGCACTCCTCTAACCCAGCACTCAAACCTCAAAGACTTGTGTTAGTTTCCATAGCCAGTGTTACAAATACCACATCAGTCTACATTGGGGTACCACAGCTGGACTCTGCTGTTCAACACATATTGCAGTGCCATAGTTGCACATGTATTTAAGTATTCAAATTGTACTGCATTTTGTACTAGTCAGTCTAGTTCTCAGACGACCTCTCAGCGGAGTAGAGTTTCTCCGTTGGCCAAGGATCAAAAAGGACTTTGTGTAGTGTGTAATGTGCCGTCAAACCAGTAAACTGCCTAGTACTTCCAGTCTCTACCACTACCAGGGGTTCTTCAAGGGTGCTTGATTTATTTTTTTTCTTTAAGATGAGAATTACTTTGCATCTCTTTCCTGTTTCTATCAGAGGTGGCCGGGGTTCAGACTACATGTGTGGGCAATAAGCCAGATAAGACTTAAGTTAATGAGAGTGAAACAGGTCAGCAGTCAGAATGTTACCAGCATTGGCACACACCATGAACAGACATGTACCATTAACTTGAATGAATTAAATCATGGTTTCTGTTGTGCAGTGCCAGTAGCAGCAGGGGGTGCTGTTTTAGTTTTCCAGGTCAGTTTAACGCTGAGGTACAGTGATGTTTTCAACTGGCTCCCATAGTCACGCCTTAAGGGATCAATCACAATGCATTTCTCAGTGGGAGTTTTTTTTTTTTATCCCAGCTCATCTCAGGGAGTGTTTTCTTAAATAATCTTTTTTTTTGGTTGAATCTGGAATAATTAATGCTCAAACTGGTGTGCTTTACCTGTACTGTGAATAAGATACAGGCTTTTTAAATTCCACTTCAGTCTTCACGACTGTTTTTAAACTAAATGAACTGAAGGCTGAAGTCAGCATTGCATACAGCAGATTGAAAGTTTGCAGCAGCAGTAAATGAGGATGAACTAATGTAATTTCCACTGTGTGGAGTGATTGAAACTACCAATTAGTGAAGAGGTGGTTGTTATGGCAACTGTCCAAAGAAGCGTGTTTTCTAGTAGCGGTGAGCTTCTAAAAAAAGCTCCGGAGCAGTTATTGTGTACATGTTATTTTCTTCCTCTTTATAAAGAAATTACTCTCAATAAATGTCTTTGAATCAAACCTTTTCCAGCCTGTTTGAAGTTCTTCATGTGTCCTCTAATACATAGGCTATATATTCAGTTAAGTGCCTGTTGAGTGCTGCATATGCATTATTTATATGACTGTATCGCACTGTTTTATGGTTTCACCAGATACTCTCCCCCCTTGGTAAACAGACTACTGCTAATCATTGTGGTCTTGAGAAATATTAGCATACCTGAATGTGTCACAGTGCAGCGGAGAGCGACAGAACTCCTGCACAGCCTCACTACTGTTTACTTTCCTACAACGTTTCAACAACTTTCATAGTTAAGTCGATATCAGCAGGATTTTAGAAAATTCTGGTGGATAACATCTAAAACATGTAAATTAAAGCTCTAAATTCCATAAACTGTACTGAGGTCACATTTCTAAAACTATTAATTTGTGGTGCTGACTGCAGCGCAGTCTGTGTAGGACGGACTTCTCTCTCTGTTAAACATCCAAACAGGATGAAGGCTGTGTTGTTGGACTGTAAAAACCCATTAACTCTACTGAAGCCATAGAAGGGAGATCAAAGTGAAAGTGGACTGAGGTTAATTGAACCCGGAGAGAGGAGACGAAGCTCACAGGATGGATACATACATACTGAGACTTCTACAGCTGTCCTGCTCACACCAGTTGGGTGGGATCGAACTGGAAGACTCTTTGGGTTCCCTTTAAGTGTGAAGAGTGGAAGCATTAGAGTGGAAGTATTACTGACCGAGGCCCCGGGGGCCAGAGCCTCTGTTTGAAGTGAAAATTACTAACAGTTCTTGTTGGAAAGTTAAAAGTACAAATGTCCTGATCACATTTCTTTCTTCTTTCTTTCCATGTTGATTATCAAACAAATCCAATTCAGGATTTCTGTTGGTTATTCCTCCCTATTAGAGCTGCACAGCACACTGAGAGTAACATTTCCAATTCAAATTCAAGTCAGTTTGACAGAACAAAATAACTGCTTTCAGAAAGTGGAACCTGCATCTAACACTTTATTATATATGATGGTCTCCTGCAACATTTTGTTTGGTGTTCTGTACTATTCAGTATGGTTTCTGTGTCAGTGCTGTAGCAGGAAGCTTTAGACAGGAGTCAGACAGCCTCTCTTCATCTCAGTGTGAATCAAACACTGAAGTTCTGCTGCAGCTTTTTAACCAAAAAATTATTTTAAAAAGTTCTGGTTGACCTGCAATATGCCTTTGTGCTGTTTGTGCATGTCTCTCAGTCCGGGTGTCTTTCTCCTACAGTATGTATAGGAGGGGTAGGGGGGCTTTTACATGTCTGCACCCATTGTCCCATAATCTGTCCATGAGTGGAGGGTACTCTGGAGACCTGGGTGGCCGGGACATGCCTCATCTTGGAGAACTGACTGTTTCTGATGGGACTCTTGTCCAGGGCTTGAATGTGGAGTCAAAAGGCCAGTTGGATATAAATACTACTCTGAAATGTGTAAGCAAAGAGTTTCCCCCCAAACATTCAAGTAAAGTAAAAAGTGTTCAGAGCGCTATAATTATGTAAATCCTGGATGAACATCAACATGAAATACAGTTTCAAACTTTTAATGACATACAGTACTGCAGGAGGAAGGAACTACCATCATGATTACTTTACTACTAACTCTACTTAATGTGCTGGTATTATTATTATTATTATTAATATTATTATTATTATTATCATTATTGTTCTCAGGACAGTAACTGTAGCAGATGGGCTGCCCTGGCCGCCTGCTGTGATGCTGTTTCTGCTGTGGAGCTGTTAGATTGTTCCCAGACACAGTACAATAGACAAGCTGGGGTTCTCTGTCTCCATACATTAATCCTCCATCTGCGCACAGCAGCGCGGAGGAGGAGCGTTAACGGCGCCGGGACCGGACAGCAGGGCGGACATGGCGGTACACAGCCGTGCTGTATGTCACTGCTGGCTCTGAGAGAGGTTGTTTCTCAGCTTTAAAACTGAAGATTGCTTTGATAATCTGATGTCTGATGCCACCTGGAATCATGGACGAGCAGCAGTTGGTGTTTGTGTCTTCCTGCGCGGAGATGCTGCCCGTTTGGGGTGCAACGCTGTGACTTTCTGCGGGTGAGGCTGCAAAGTTTCCAGGCAGAGCTCCAAACCAGGGCGGTTATTTCAGAAGAATGAAGGTATGAGGATGTAGCACCAGATCTATTTCAACTTCAAAACCTTTAAAATGTTTCTTTTTCTAATAATAATATTGGTTTTAAACGATTTTGCGACTCTTCTCCAACTCCCATCAAGCATGCTCATTGTGGATTAACGCACCAGGTCCTGCTTTACCATACAGGGCGTGTAACTTACAGTTGACCTTGGCTAAATCCAACTCTTGCAGGCTATTATTAGACAACAGCATATGGTTCAGAAGGAGTGACTGAGTGGCACACAAGGGTGGCCGCGGCGCACGACTTGTACCAAGAGAGTGAAAAATCAAAGCGAGAATCGAAAGTTGACACTTGTTGGTCGGTATTAAACAGCATGTAAACATAAGTAAAACTCCACTAAGCCACCACATGTCACCCTGCACCTTGTATGTTAGTATGAGGAGATCAATACTAAAGTACAAACAGCAGTCGTTATTGTTGAGCTCTCTCAGACTGCTGTGTGTGCAGGTTTAGATGAAAGCCCCACTGCTCTGCTCACTCTGTTTAAAGTACATTGTGTCCACTCACATGCTGTAACTTACTGTATAACTGTATATTTTTAATGCTGCTGTGTAACTTTGTACACTGAGCCTTACACATTCATGTAAAATACTTTATGCTTTTAAAGGAAATTAGGAGAGTTAGTTTGAGAATGAGAACTCTGTACAAGTCTTATTACAGCCAACTATACACTTACCTGCTATCCTAAAAGTACAGTAATACACAGGGTAGATGTCTGATTTAGAGGATGGAAGTAAGTATAAAAATTATTTTTAAATGCTGCTGAGTAGAGACACAGTGCACTTTTCTCTTGTTCAGTCAATCAAGGAACCAATAAATCACAAATGGTTTTTTTTTCATGTGCTTTCTATTTTAGTCACAGATACATTCCTCCTCCTCACTCTGCTGCTGTGAGGGCCAGTAGCTCTTTGTCATTTTCCTCTAACCAAAAAAATCCAGGTCTATTTCTGACTAAAAACGCCTGAATGTTGTTACAACATCCATATTTAGTAACAGGAGCTCAACAGGGGGTCTTAAAATAGAGCCCAGACCTAGAAATAAACCGTGGAGGCTTTAATTCTGTTACATTTTTAGGTCCTTAATGACATTTAACCACTTCCTGTTTACTGTAAAATAAAGCTGTAATTTTTAAGGACATTTTCTTTGATGGTTTGAATATTTTTGCACACATTTTCAGATCATGATATAAAAGTTTTGCTAGTTTATTACATTTATTTCATGTCCAGTGGGAGGCTGTTTGACCTGGGTCATGTTGCAGTAGCAGATTTCTAACACTTGTGTGCAGTATTGGTGCAGGTTTAAACTGACAGGGTCCTCTGACTGTCATTCAGCATTCTAGCTCTCCTTTTGTCTCACTGTGTCTCTCAAGAATTCAAGTGGATAATTTAAACTCCAGTAGAATCAGGCTAAAAATCTGAGGTCAGTTAATCAAAAGTTAAAACATTTTTACCAGAAATTAAAGAAAAATAATCATAAAACCCCGAGAGGTGTCGCATTACATTGGAATTAAATAAGCAAATTTTTTGTCTCTGTACAGTCAATTGTACAAGATTAAATCCTGTCTTTAGTGCCTCTAATTTATTACATATTTTTACTGAATCACAGTCCAAACTGCAGCGTTTGAGAAAAAATGTCTAACTCCGTCTGTGGTCCAGTGGATCTGGCTGTTTATGGGTGTGTCTGCCTCAGAGATTCAAACACACCCAGTCTCTGCTGACTGCTGTTAGATGGTGTTGTGACTCAGCTGTCACTCCTTAATAAGACAATCTTAATAGAGTTATACGTTATATAATTTGCTGCTACAGTTATATGAACACCATTTAGTTAGGTTTGCCTTTATGTGACGGTTCTAAAATGAGACATCGATGACACTTTACTAATAGCTTACTAGCATAACAGGTTAATTAGAAAATGAAGTCCTTAATTAAGGGCCATAAGTTTCTCACTCTAACTCATCAGGCCTGCAGTTATAAATAGTTTAAAATAATTAGTAAGGGTTCTTACACTATGAAAAAAAAATGCAAATAACTAGAATATTAATCATACTACTAATAAAGTAATTGTACTAATCAGAAAATACATAAAATATATTTATGCAAGTGTAAATGTAGAGTTTAGTGTGGATCCTTTGTGGTCAATCTGTCTTTTGGAGGTTCTTCTTGCATGAAAAGAGACAAAGCAACTGAATGTAGAGGAACAACCTGGAGCCACTGCCCCATGTACCAAGGCTGAGTCCTTGCAGTAGTACCCCAGGGTTCGAGTCCGATCTGTGGCACTTTGCTGCGTGTCATCTTTTTTTAATGAATAAACCCTTTAGGTAGTTACTTAATGTACAAACCATGTATGGTTCTTTCCATGGTCTGGAGGTGAGTGTAAACTTGTATCAGTTTGTGTGATTAAAACCAAACTTTGTGTGAGTTGTAGGTGTTGTGAGCTGACCTGGAGCAAAAAGACATGAATAAACTGCAGTCT